AGGTTTAGTCCAAACAATTAATCTTATCATCATAAGGACATTTGATCTCGACTAATCTTTCAGGGACTCCGTTTACTAATACGAACCCATCCGGAGAATAAGCAAGCCATTGAAATTTTTGGCAAATAACCAAACCCATTTCAATAACATTGTAGTTATTGTTCTTGCTATATATTTCCAATGCCTCCTTTTCATACTTAATTCCGTGGTCAGTGTATTTTGATTTGAATCCTTGAACTAACATGCTCATCTATACAGATAGTAGACAAGCACTACTCACCCTGAACAGACCACGAATTTACTCAGAGTTAGTACTAGAATATCACGAAGCTTTGGTCGAAATATCTATCAACAATATGGGCACCTTAAGATGGATCATAGGTCACGCCACATCAAAAGGTAACCGTCTTGCTGATTCACTAGCCAAGAAAGCAGCCAACCAAATACTTTTTTGACCTGGCCCTTCTATTGGCCTGACAAAATCGGTAGTGACAGACCTAATTAAAGAACATTCCTTTGTGAAAATTCAAGGAAAGATGGGATGAAACAAGAAACTGAAGAGTTGCCAGGGAGCTCTTAAGTTATCCTGACAACACTGCAGCAAACAAATACTTGACTATGACTAGACAGAATCTACCCTTAGTCACAAGCATTCTGACTGGTCATTACCAAGTACAAAAGCATCTCCATATCATGGGGCTGTTAGAATCCGCACTCTGCAGAGGGTGCGAACAAGAAGATGAGACCATCGAGTATATTCTTTACGATTGCTCGACGCTATCATTTATTAGAAGATTTTTATTCAGCGAGTATCGGCTAACACCGGCCGATATAAGAGAAGCACGTCTTGGCGACGTTGTCAACTATAATAAATCTGTAGGCTGGCTCACGAGCTAGGAAGTGCCTATCATCTCAGGAGGATGCACAATGGGCCTAATGATGCCTAAGTGCCGTGGGGGTAACCCACCCTCCACACGTTACAGATACAGATACCTTATCATAAAAAAAGCATAGAAAACATTTTTTTAAACGCATATTTCTTTTATTAATACCATAAATGATTGTGCTTATGACTATTCATTGTTTTTAACTAAGAAAATTATAAAAAATTAGGCTTTATATTGAGGTTTCATAGGGGCTTCCATTTATGGGGGTCAAAAGGGGGTTTGTGTAACTGTGAAGAGTATCATATAGAATGCCAAGCATTATATATTTTCATTCTAGTTTCCTTCTTGAATTCTATATCATATTTATCTAGTTCCATCTTTTTCTTAATTTTCCACACGTTTATTTACCAAATTTTTATTTCTTCCATCCTCAGCACTAACTCAGTTAATACCAGTGTGGATTAAACATTACAAAAGTATCATAGTAATCTTACGTTTCTTGTTCTGCATCCGTTTGTAACATCTTTTACTTTTCTCAAGTATTTATCCCGAATACGCATCAACTAACTTATTCAATTTTCGGCAAAAGTCAATTAATAAAAATATAAAAAAACCCTCTTGATAACAAAAGTCATTGATATCAAATTTCTTGGGAATACCAATAAGGTCGAGTTCAAAGATTTAAATTTCTAAACACCATAATATAAGAAGAATTGAAAATTATATCAACCGTTTTTAAAATGTCTCTCGAATTGTTTTATTTTTATAGCGTTTCTGTTTTTTGTTAGTAAATCATCGTCTTTGCTACAGGTTAATAAAATATTTAATCAATAATATACAGGGTGTTTTCTAATTGAATGTCAATATTTAAGGGGGTGATTTTTGGGTTCATTTTAAAAAAGTCTTCTGAGATAAAGGGTGGTGAATTTTTTAAAAATAAATAATTTTTAGACATCTGTAATACCATTTTAGATATTTTAATGAAATTTGGTATACAAGTAAAGTGATAGAAATACCCCAAGTTCCCTGACAAAAGAGTATCGCATTTTTATTTATAGTTGGCACGTGTCTTCTTATTTCAGTTGCGCTTTGTTGTTGTGCTTTGTCGTTGTAAACCTTATTAAGGCGCGTTTACACGAATACAAGAGGTTAATTTGAAATTAAGATTAAGTTTTACATTTTGTCTACAAATACTAGAATAATTTACTTTCGTACTTTATAAATAAATTTCTCAGCTGCATTCCATCTCGTTTTTTTTACTTGCAGCCGGGTTGCGAGAATGAAAATCACAAATCGTACTGAAAAACATTTTAAAACGTAAAACTTTTAAAATAGCTATATTTTATGAAAATGTACCAACACCTAAATCGAACAACACCTAAAAAATGGCTGGAGCTTTAAATTTATTAACTATTAAATAACTTTTATAAAAAAGTTTAAAATATTTACAAAAATTTTAACCTATAGAAACAAATGGGCTAGGCACATATGAGAAATAAAAATCTGATGTGTCCAACACATGACTTTTCTATCTAGTTATTACAAGCTTTTTCCGGTTATTTTGTACAACCTATTGCATCACCTCTGTAAATGTTTAGAGGATAAACTAACTATATACATTTTCAACATACATCTAACTCGAAACATTTTTCTGTAGATATTCATTGAAAACGAAAATAATTAAAAATTTAAATTTAGCACTTTTCCTCCATTATGGTCCATTTTAGAAAATTATATAAAAAATAAAAATTATAGAGATCGACATCGCAAACAACTTAGTTTAACAATTTTCATAAAAATCAGAATTTTGCACATTTTGTCAAATTTCTCGAATACGGACCATTTTAGGAAAATTTGGCATAAAACAAAAATTATAGATAATAATATTAGAAGTAACTTTTATTTGAATAATTTTCTTCTCTAAACATAAATAACAGTACTCCCCAGATGTTCCAACTTTGTCCAAAATCTAATAATTTTACCTCAGGCTGAAATAAAACTTAAGTTTAAAATTTAAAGTTATTTCCATTATCCGTTTTTGAGTTTTCTTCAAAATTCGTAATTTACACATTTTTTTAAATAGCTCGAATATGGTCCATTTTAAGTAAATTTTGTAAAAAATAAAAATTATAAAAAATTATATTACAAACAACTTTTGATTGAACAATTTTTATAAAAAAATATTTTTTTTTCATTTTGACGAATTTCTCGAATACGGACCATTTTAAGAAAATTTGGTAAAGAACCAAAATTATAGATTTTTAAAGTACCCTCCCAGATGTTCCGACTCTGCCTGAAATCTAATCAGTTCATTGGAGGCCGGAATAAAGCCTAAGTTTAAAATTTGATGTTTTTCTTTGTATCCGTTCATGAGTTATGGTGGACACACACACACACACACACGCGCACGCACGCACGCACGCACGCACGCACGCACGCACGCACGCACGCACGCACGCACGCACGCACGCACGCACGCACGCACGCATGCACGCACGCACGCACGCATGCACCCACGCACACACACACACACACACAGACGCACAAACACACACACAGAGACAGACATCATCGTGAAAATAGTCGAAATGGATTCAGGGGACCCCAAAACGTAGAAATCCGTTGACAACTGGAGGTCAAATAAAATCATGATTCCTATACTTTCCTTATATGTATACAGGTAGGAAAGTAAAAATGATTTCACTTTTATTAAATTATATAATATTTATGTACAACAAAAATCTCTTAACCATTTTACTTTCCGAATTATAGCCAAAAAACCGTACAATCAATTTAAATTTCAAATAAATTATTTGACTCATCCACATCACATGACTTAACTGTCTCCCATCGTTGATAAAATATGTCACTTTCTATAAAAATTTTAATAATAACGTACTAAAATTAACAACGAAACATTGAAAAAGTGCTGGCAGAACTGACTTGCAGTAGCCATCGTTTTATCTTGCCAACTTTTTCTGCCACTTCCCTTGCTATATACCTACGTCCCACGTCTCATCCATTAATACAGGCTTAAAGTTACCCAGCTCTATCTCTTTATAAATTTTTTTAAAAGCGGCATTTTTTTAACTGAATCGATGTTCGTTTCAATAAAAAACTGTCTGTTGCTACTTTTTTTAAAGCGAAAACCTATTTTTCGAATCCGTGTATTAATTGACCATGCATAACATTAGACATAAGACATTTCTTTCGAAAATCGTTTATATTACAATTTCATTCTTACATGTTGCGCATCTCCGTACATCTTATATATAAATTGCCTCAACTTACTCAAAGAATTGACTTTTGTTTTATTTTGGCATACTTTTTTTAAACATTATTTTCACATACTCCTTATCAGAATTAGTTGGTTTACTAAACCTATAGATAGTTTTCTGCGAAATATTTAATGCCTCTGCAACCATTTGATTGTACTTCTTTCCAAAAGCCTCATAAAAAAAGCATAGAAAGCTTTTTTTAAACGTATATTTCTTTTATTAATACCATAAATGATTGTGCTTATAACTACTTTTTGTTTTTAACTAAGAAAATGATAGAAAATTAGGCTTTATAATGAGGTTTCATAGGGACTTCCATTTATGGAGGTCAAAAGGGGGTTTATGTAACTGTGAAGAGTATCAGAATGCCACGCATTATATATCTTTATTCTAGTTTTTTTCTAATATTACTTCTTCAATTCTATCTCATATTTATCTAATTCCAGCTATTTCTTAATTTTCTACGCTTTTATTTTACAAATTTTTATTTCTTCCATCCTCAGCACCAACTCAGTTAATGCCAGTATGGATTAAAAATTACAAAGTATCATGGTATTCTTATGTTTCTTGTTCTGCATCCGTTTGTAACATCTTTTACTTCTCTGAAGTATTTATCCCGAACAAGCATCAACTAACTTATTCAACAATGCGTTTGTGTAAGTCAATTATTAATAAAAATATAAAAAACATGTTTTTAGTAACAAAAAATATTGATGAAGGGCAATGATATCAATTTTTTGGGAAAACCGATAGGTCGAGTTCAAAGATTAAAATTTCTAAACACCATACTATATAAGTACCCCGGAAGAATTGAAAATTATATCAAACGTTTTTAAAATGTCTCTCGAATTGTTTATTATTATAGCGTTTTTGTTTTTTGTTAGTAAATCATCGTCTAATAGTATTGCTACAGGTTAGTAAAATATTTTAAATATTAATTTTCTGATTGAATGTCAATATTTAAGGGGGTGATTTTTGGATTCATATTGAAAAAGTCTTAACTTCTGTGATAAAGGATGGTGAGTTTTTAAAAAATAAATAATTTTTGGACATCTGTAAAACCATTCTAGATATTTTAATGAAATTTTGTATACAGGTAAAGTGATAGAAATACCCCAAGTCCTTTTAGTTATAGTTTGCACGTGTCTTCTTATTTCAGTTGCGCTTTGTTGTTGCTTAGCAGCGTAAACTTTATTTTGTCTACAAATACTAGAATAATTTACTTTCGTACTTTATAAATAAATTTCTCAGCTGAACAATAGTTTTTAGCGTTTTTAGAGTTTTTAAAAATAATCCAAAACAGGTGCTAATTCGTGAAACAGATTCTTTGTTAAAAAAATATATTATAACAATAGGCACAGAAAATATTTATTGGATAATTCATATAAATTTTTTTAATCAATATCATTTTCTTTACAACTGGACTCAGACTTATCACTACTTGCCGTTGTACTCAAATTAATAATAATTGATTCTAGATTAGAATCATCTAATTGCTTGTATTTTTCCCAATCAGAAACAATTGTTTTTAGCGTGTCTTACACAATTGTCCCAATGAGTATCGGTAACATTATTCAAAGCTTCTGACCAAGTCTGAAATACATCTTCCGGTGACGACTTTGATATTAAAATGTTTTCGTCATAAAACCGTTTGCACTGTGACCACACCATCTCTATCGCATTATTGTACTAGAAATAATATGGAGAAGTTCTTAATATTTTTCGCCCATATTCCCCAACATATCTATCTAGGTGGAATTCTTTTCGTGGTAGACTTTGATGTACAACTTTCTAAAACTGATATTTCATACCATTGATTGGATAATTAATGTTCTTTTCCTACAACCATATTACCATTTTTTTTGTCCAACTATAACATGAAATTGGTTACACGTACCGTGAATGATAACTGGCATTATCGATTAAAATCAAAGAAGGATGTTCCAGACTAGGTATAAATTTCGTAAAAATTTTTTGTGTTCATATTATTATGGTAACCCACATAGCACACGGACGTCTAAAAGACGTCCTTCAGGGACATAAAGGACGTCCCATGGACGTCCTAATGTCCCGTTTCCGTCCATCTTAGGGACGTCCCAGGGACATCCCAGAAGGACATCATAGGGACCTTTGCGGGACGTCCTAGGGACGTAAATCAGACGTCCGAGGGACGATATTTGACCATAATCCATAAAGGGTAATAATAACAAAAATGTTAACAATAAAAGAGCTTTATTTAACAACTTTTTTCCTAAAAAAGCTAGCTAGAGTTAAACGTTTTCAGTTTACAAAAAAAAAAAAACAGGAATGAATTAAATTTAACACACAGCGCTGGCAAGATGAAACCTTGGGTCCTACTTATAGCTTGTGTCGACATAACTGAGTATTATAATTTTGTCAAAATTAGTTTTGTTCCAACTTTCCGCCATTAAGGTATTTTCTTTCCGCCAGCGGCTACCGCCAATACACATCACTTATTGTCATCTCAACACAAAACACTCAATGCACTTTATAACCACTTTACCACCAACATCAAAAAAATAACAAATAACACTATATAACCTTCTTTTTTCTTCGTTAATCTAACTCACTTATACAGGGTGGCTCACGCTCAACGGGACGGAGCTTTATAGGAAAACGACCAAAGATATAAAAAATTCGTTTGGGAGGAATACGTAGGTTACAGACGGCTACAATTTAAAATTTGTTAGATGTATACAGGATGTCCCACATAAGAGAAAATATACAAAGTTATATTATTTTTAATGGAACACCCTGTTTTTTATTTTAGAATTAAAAACTACATCAAAAATAATGTCAGTTAACTAAAGGTTCCCTATTACTATTATTATTAGTTTTCGATTTATTTGAATTTTTAAGGAAAAAAAGTCTCCCAGAAATTAATTGTTTACTCTTTTTTGAATAATTTTTAATGAACTAATTTTTTTTTCTTATGTGGGACATCCTGTATACATCTAACAAATTTTAAATTGTAGCCGTCTGTAACCTACGTATTCCTCCCAAACGAATTTTTTATATCTTTGGTCGTTTTCCCATAAAGCTCCGTCCCGTTGAGCGTGAGACACCCTGTATAAGTTAATTATTGAGTGCCGAAAATTGTAGCTGTTGTTGTTCATTTAAAAATAAATGATAGGTTAGGTTTTCTGTTCTCATACTCTTGCAAAAACAAAACGTTAAATATCAAGTTATCGATTCAAAGACCAACGATGCTAGTACATAGAAAGTTCCATAGACTCGGACCGAAAACTAAACGCTTTGTCGAAACGGGACCAAAATAGGACGTCCAGAGGACGTCCATCTAAGGACGTCCTAGTGTTCACTGTAATCGGAAGTCCAGTGGACGTCCTATTTAGGTCCGGGACCAACAACGGACCAAATCAGGACGTCCATGGGACGTCCTGTGCTATCTGGGAATCCCTGCGTTTATATTGACTTTTAAATATGAGGTCTGCATTTTTTATAAACCCCTTTTTTTATTGCCACCATGGGCAATTATGTATTGAATTTCCTCTCTTGTTTTTTTACTCGCAGCAGGGCTGCCAGAATAAATATGACAAATCGTACTGAAAAACATTTTAAAACGTACAGCCAAAAAACCGTGCAATCAATTTAAATTTCAAATAAATTATTTGACTCATCCACATCACATGACTTAACTGTTATCAGCGTTGCCAGGTCAAATTTTGTACAATCCCCAGATAATATTTCAAAAATCCCTAGAATATCCCTATACGTTAATTCGTGGCCCCAAAGCGCAAGCGCCTCACTTTGCACTCGGCAAGCTAAATAAGACAAGATCATTATGAAAATATTTTATTTTCGTCAATAAAAACACAAATAATCCAAATAAAATAACGTTAGTTTAAACATAAAATAACATTAGTTTAAAAATAAAATAACATTAGTTTAAAAATAACATTTTGAAATGTTTTTTATTACTTAAAATATTATGTTTTTATTTTGTTATACATTTTATTATTCAGTTTTTTAACCAAGTCTTCATCAATATTAAAAGTAAAACAATTTTCATTTTTCATTAATGTTTTAGTATGTAGGATGCCAGACAAAGTTTCTGTTGAAAGCTTGTTTTTTATTTTGGTTTTATTTAGGTTAATAGTTGAAAAGGTTCTTTCCACGGTGGCGCTTGAATGTGGCAAACACATGATATTAAATATAAATTCACAGAGTGTGGGAAACATAAAGGATTCATCACCACATTTCATTTCTGAAATTTTTGACCAAAATTCTGAAATATTAAGATTTTTTAAGTCATTTATGTCGATATTGCGTAATTGTCGCCATTCTCGATCCAATTCGTTCAGTTGGTTCGCTGAAACCAGATTTGGGAAATGCATCCCCAAAGAAGCAATTGTGTTATGCTTCTTGGAAATTACCTGCTCAGGACTTATAATTGATAAATCTTTTAAAATTTTCATTGAGGTGCTCTTTGCATCAAATCGCTTATAAATTTGAGCGCAACTCTCAATAAGAAAATCCATCCAACGGGTTCGGAAATTTTGCAATTCTTCGTCATTTAAATTGTGGGTTTTATTAGTAACAGAACCTACTACATATGCACCTAAATACATTTCTTCAATTTGTAAAAAAATCGAGGATTTTTATATTGAATGTCTTCGATGGGAGTTTTTTCCAAATATTCTTTTTTAATAAAGCAATCTAAAAGAGACCTCAAAACATTTTCAATTTTACCGTGTAACGTGTGAATTTTGGTGCTTTCAGATTGAATTTCCAAATTTAACTTTGTAAAAAATGGTAAGACAAAATCTAGAAAATGGTAGTATAATTTTACTGAAGGATCATTTAACCTGTATAGAATAGATTGGGCTTTCTCTATGTTTCTATGTTAAAAATAGTTTCTTATTCGTTAATTTACTTCTATCATTATTTAAACAGATTTCTCCTCTAATGTATTTTAAAGATCCGTTTAAATAATGACAGAAGTAAAGGAGAACATATTTTTAAAGGCCGTTAAATATAAAGGAATTGCTACAGAATAGACCCCATAATCCTTGATAAAATACTAGTCCATTTAAAATAACGGTAAAAGGTCGAGAAACGCCGCACTTGACGAGACCACTTGTCCCCTACGTATTTTGAGACGCTGATTACGAAAATGAGGGTTAAAACTGGCAGCAATGGTTGGAACACTCCTAAAATTGTAAAAAACACCCCTGGATAGGGGTGTTTTTCGACTGTACTTGTTGTTTTGCAAACTTAAGCCATCTTATATGTTTTTTGGGGCACTGATTACGAAAATCTGGGTTAAAACTTGCAGCAATGGTTGAACCACCCCTAAAATTGCAAAAACCACCCCTAACTAGGGGTGTTTTTCGACTGTACTTGTTGTTTTGCAAACTAACTCATCTCATATGTTTTTTGGGGCGCTGATTTCGAAAATCGGGGTGTCAAGACTGGAAATTTTGTTTGACACCCCCCACATGCCAGAAACACCCCTCCCAGGGGGTGAATTTTAGGAAAAAATTACCAGTCACGGTGATTCGCAAACTAAGTCATCTTATATGTTGAAAAATTAATAAACTGCGTCGAAATTGTACAAGAACAGAACGAGCGGGAAGTAGGAAGCAAACATTGATGCTAGAATATACGAAATATAGATGGGAGTATAGAGTATAGAGAGAAAACCTGAATCCACGACCTGCCACGACCTTGTATTCACACGACCTCTGGAGTCCCCTAGTGTTTCCAACGCAGCATATTTACACTGAACAGGAGTTTTGATTCATAGGAATATTGATGTTTTCGCGTGACTCTTGTTTTCGGAAGATCACTTTAAATAGAGACTAAAAAAATACGAGTATCAGAAAGATCTTGATACTTTTTGTTCAAAAATTAAAATTAATTTGTAGTGTG